AGGGCACTGGCCTCTAGGGTAAACTGTATACATTAAATCAATGATACATGGGTCTGTGTCCCCAATAACTAGAATACATGGATTCTGAACACTATATAAGCTTCCAAGCACCACAAAACCTGGATCCATGTTGTGTCTATTAATATGGGTATTATAAGTAGCTAGGTCAAATGAAATCTTGCCACTTGCAACAACGTGGATGGAGCTAGAGTATACTGCTAAATGAAATAAGTCAGTCAGAGAAAGACAAATACCACGTGATTTCACTCATACGTGGAATTTAAGAAACAAAACAAATGAACAAAGAAAAAAAGAGACGAACCAAAAATAGACATCTTAACTATAGAAAACAAACTGCTGGGTACCAGGGGGGAGGGGGGTGGGGGGAGGGGGAAAAGGGGGGAGGGGGATAAAAAGTACACTTATCAAGATGAGCACTGAGTAATGTATAGAATTGTTGAATCAGCATACTGTACACCTGAAGCTAATGTAACACTGTATGTTAACTATACAGGAATTAAGTAAGTAAATAAATAATTTTTTAAAGGTCGCTAGATCATACCCTTCCCCCAATCCTCAGTTCTTCAAACTACGTTCCACTCTTCTCTAGGTAGGCTAAGCTGTAGGCAGCGGCTAACCACTTCTACCCCCGCCCCCCTCCGCCCCACGAGTAATTCTGAGAACACTTTTCCAGCCAACCTTCCCCATCCCATTGCCCATTCCTGCAACTCTGTTCCCCAAGTTCCAGGTCTGATTTTTCTCCGCAAACTTTTCTTCCTCCCTCACTTCCTCTCCTGTCTTCCTTCCTTTCTGCCCTCTTCCCTTCAGATTCTGCCAAGAGGCATACAACTAAGAAAAAAGCTAAGTAATCCAGGGAACCAGGACAAAAGGAAAATAAAAGATTAGCACAAAGAAAGTTGACCATATGGAACTGGTAGGTCAGTGTTACAAGTTGAATTGTGTACCCTGCCTGCAAAAAAGGGTGTTGACATCCTAACCCCAGGTACCTGTGAATGTGGCCTTATTTGGAAATAGGATGTTTGCAAAGGTAATCAAATTAAGACAAGGTCATTAGGGTGGGGTTTAATCCAATATGACTGGTGCCTTTATTTTTTTTAAAGATTTTATTTATTTATTTGAGAGAGAAAGAGTGCACTCTCCCCTACAAGCACGGGAGAGAGCAGGGGTGGGGGGGAGGGGCAGAGGGAGAGGGAAAAGCAGACTCTCCGCTGAGCACTGAGCCCGACATGGGCTTGATCCCAGGATCCTAGGATCATGACCTGAGCCAAAGGCAGACACTTAACCAACTGAGCCACTTAGCCACCCCTATTCTTTCTTTTATTTTTTTAAGATTTTAAGTAATCTCTACACCCAATGTGGGGCTCGAACCCACAACCCTGAGATCAAGAGTCACATGCTCCACCAACTGAGCCAGCCAGTCTCCCCCAACATGACCCGTGTCTTTATAAGAAGAGGGAAACTTAGACACAGACACACAAGGAGAAGGGCATGTGACAACAAAGGTAGAGACTGGAGTGATACAGCTGGAAACCAAGGATGGCTGGCCACCACCAGAAGCTAGGAATAGGCAAGGAAGGATTTTTCCCTACAGGTTTTAGATAGACTATGGCCCTGCTGACACCTTGATTTTGGATTTATAACCTTCAGAACTGTGAGAGAATAAATTCCTGTTGTTTAAGCCACTTAGTTTGTGGTAATTTGTTAGAGGAGCACTAGAAAACTAATAGAGTAGGCATCCCATATATCTCTTAGTCTCTTCCTAGCAGCTGAAGCAAGGAAACAGTCTGTTACATGATCCACAGGGCCCACAGGATTAAAAAGGTCCTTATTTGTTCAGGGGATACAGAGCTTTTCATGACACTGAGAATTCAGAGAAGGGTCTCCACTGGGTCCTAGAGAAAAAAACTTTGGGAATCAATTCACGACTATAGTTGATGACATCATGACACTTGCTCCAATAATAAATTTTATGCAGCTATTTCCTACAAGGTGCACATCCAGGAATCAGAAATGAAGAAGGAGACATTATTACCAACTTTATAGAAATAAAAAGGACTATAAAGGAATACTAGGTACAACTGTATACCAACACATTAGATAACTTGAATGAAATGGACAAATTCCTAGAAAGATACAAACTACCAAAACTGACTCAAGAAGAAAGAGATGATCTGAGTAGACCTAAAAAATGAAAAGATTGAATTAGTAATCAAAAAACTATTCATAAAGCCCAGGCCCAGATGGCTTCACTGTGGAATTCTACCACTTATTTTTTTTTTAAAGATTTTTTATTTAGTTTATTTGAGAGAGACAGAGAGAGAGAGAGAGCAAGCGAGCACAAGGGGGGTGAGGGGCAGAGGGAGAAGCAGACTCCCCACTGAGCAGGGAGTCCAACACGGGGCTCGATCCCAGGACCCTGAAATCACGACCCGAGCCGAAGGCAGACACTTAACCGACTGAATCACCCAGGTGCCCCTCTATCAAACATTTAAAAAAGAATACCAATTCTTCACAAACTCTTTCCGAAAAGAGAAGAGGAAGGAATACTTTTCAACTCATTTTATAAGGCCAGTATTACTCTGACACCAAAACCAGACAAAAACGTCACAAGGAAGCTACAGACCAAATGCACATATAGAACGTACCAAAAGAGTATGTTCCAAGTACACAGCTCTATAATTTTATGTCTTTGAGGTAATCTCCATAAACAGTTTTCTCATGATGGGTTTTTGGTAAGGTCAGACAGCAGATTTCAAGGCTATAATCTTTGGGAAACATTTGGGGGGTAAATGTTCTGTGTTACCAATGAAATGCAGGTCTTTATGCTTTGCCAACTTCTAGAGCAGGGGATAGAAATGAGGTCTTCTGATGAAAACGAAATGTTATTTATTTATTGTTAAATGGTTGACGAAAGTTAGGGGAACTGCCACTACCAAAGCAAGAACTAAAGAGCATTTTTCTTGCTGAAACTTGAACAAAGAATGTGGGACAAAGAAGAGTTATTAGATATTTGAAATATTTTATAATTTATTTAAAATTTAATTTAAAACTACAAGAAAGAGATTTTAGCTTATAAGAAAGTCTAAGCATTGACTCAAACACAGAAAAGACAGGCTCCATTTCCCTGGACTTCAAAAATAAATCCAAAACACATCTTGCTCGGATAACAAACATGTAATTCCAGGAGTCCAAATCCTACACTTTTTCAAGTCTTGCTTAAATGTTGCCAGTTTAAAAAAAAATGTAGCTGTTTTCAAATTAGTGTGGCACTTGAAAGTTTCCTTTTACATCATTTTCCATTTTCTTCTTAGAGTTGCATTTATCTTACTATCTTACTGAACGATCTCTAGAATCTCCAGACTCCTACTCAGGTTTAGAATAGTGCTTTGCTCATAACCAGCACTTACTAAAAACTGTTCCATGAACTAATGAAAATACCATGTATCTCATTACATGGTCAGTCTAAAGCCAAACGGATTTTTAAAGTATTCAAAGCAATAAAGCCTCCTGTAAAAAGGATTGCCAGATAAAATAATCTTTAAAAATCTGTTTTTGGATTAAGCCACAAATAAGAGATGACTTAACCAAATTCATTTATACTAGTTACTGTTCTTTTTTTTTAAAGATTTTATTTATTTATTTGAGAGATAGAGAGCACGAGAAGGAAGAAGGTCAGAGGGAGAAGCAGACTGCCTGCTGAGCAGGGAGCCCGACGCGGGACTCGATCCCGGGACTCCAGGATCATGACCTGAGCCAAGGGCAGTCGCTCAACCAACTGAGCCACCCAGGCACCCACTAGTTACTGCTCTTTTAATTGATGTCCACAGCAGTAAGTGTCCTTCTCAGAAGAAAAATGTCAACCTAATAGTTTACCTTCACATTGCAAAATTATCCCTTTTAAGATATCCAACCAGTTTCTTCTGAAACCATTCTTGGAATGGTAGGGAGAAACTCCATTAATGGACTTTGACACTTCGACATTCTTCTAATTTATAGAAAAAATGAGGTTGAAAAAAAATTATTTGAACCAAAGCATGTAAATTGGATTATAATACTGTAATCAGTAATTCCCTGTCCTCCTTTTAAAAGGATTATATAATCTCTGCCCATTGTTATATGACTTGCAAGGTTTCTTTCTTTTTTTGAGCGTACACTTTCTGGTCCCATTGACAGCAAGCTTTACCATATGACTTGCTTTGGCCAATAAAACGTGAACAGAATTGGGGTGCTCGGAATGTGAGCTGTTTTAAGAGCAGCAATGTGCAGGTGGTGTATAAGAGCTGATTGTAACATTTCCAGAAATTTGGCAAGTCACTTGTTAAACTTGTTAAAAGTAGCTTGAAATCAGCCACGGTGGGAGGATTTACATCATGGAAATAAAAAACACTACAAATCAGGACTCTTCTTCCCTAAAGTTGGTTCCAGCACACGGTGAAGTGAGTGTATCCCCCCAAAAAATGTTGATCTTTCACCCTGGAGCCTGGAGTAAAGGAAACTAGTGGAATAGATGCAGCAGATACAATTTGCTTGGGAAATGAATCTTTCTTATTGTAAATCGCCGAGTTGTAGGTGTTTTTACCTCAACATAATCCATCGAAAGCTGATATACTAGCGTTATTAAGTTCTAGAACACCAACGAGCCCTGTCCAGACCTTGGTTCGGCAGGTTTCTTTTAACAACTTGAACCATCAGATACCTTGAACCTGAAAGGATGCAAACTGCACTCAGATTCAAGACAGGAATCCAGGTCTTGGAAGGTTAATGTAAAAGTATAAAATAAAAATTACATTTTTAAAAAGCACTAAACAACTGCATCATTTTTAAACCTTGGCAAACGAAGTCTGTCACTCGTGGACCTGGATGGCTAAAGAGTGACTCTCCAGCCCTTTCCCCTACAGGTCACATGTTACCCTCCCCCCTCTCACCCCCAAACGCATGAATTGAGCGCTGTGTCTTTAAGGGAGACGCGCGGAGGTTTCTGCACCGAACAAAATGTCTGCGAGGATCCTGGAGGGGACCCGCGATCCCAGACTTCTAGCCCGCCTCTTGCTCCTGCCGCGCTTTGGGGGTGATGGGGTGAGTGTGCGCCGCCACGCAGGCGGCCGCGCTCCCGGAGGCCTGGTCGGGTCGCGGCCCACCGGGGGCTGGGGGAGAAGTGGGGCGGCGAAGGGAACAGGGACCAGTCCCGGGCCTCGGGGGCCGCAGGTGAGCCAGCAACGCACAAACACCACTGTTCACTATTATCACAGGCTGGCTTGCGCACGGGCTGCCGGACGTGCCCTTCCTTCGCTGTGCTCAGGTTGTCCCTAGTATAAAAGACGCATGTGGCCCCGGATTCTGCCTAGAGGCACTGTTCAGCTTCTTTCAGCACCTCGTTTTTGCTCCCAGTCTCCTTTCAAAAAAGTTCTTTGAGAATATCGAAAATCATGGGCTCTCCTAAGAAAAATTGCCTTTTTGCAGTCAGACTTTTTTAACAGTGGCAAATGGTTGCGTGCCCTGTAGTGTGCTCTTTCTCTGAGACTTTCTTAATGTTTCTCATTTTGGAGAGGAGAAGCCAAATACAAGCCAAATCAAACAGGAATCCCTGCCCCCATCTCCATGGTGCTCAAACAAAAGAATTTTCTGATCCTCTCTGAGTACAGAGGAGCAGTTTGCTGTAACTACTGACAGTAGCCAAATGCCCGAAGCTTACCAAACAAAATTATTTTTCCTTTCTTGAAAGAAAAAAATAACTACCATCCAAACTTCAAATTAGCCCAGACTACATGAATGTGGTGTTAAACAGAAGTTATTGTAAAAAAAAAAAAAAAAAAAAGCTTAATAAATTGACATAATTAGGGTAATTATTTTATGCACTTTGCATTCATGTATTATTTGTACACTCTTTTTAGCCAAAACTGGCTTGAGGCAAAGGACAATAAAAAGTATGCAACAATGTGTAAAATGGCCAAGAGCCAAAACAAGGTAATTCTCAATTAAAAATTCTTTGTGTTACCAAGGACTTCAAAGTAGGGCAGCTTTAAGTTCCTGTAATTCATATTAAAGTATGCATTTTACAAGACAAAATGGATCAACACCCTTCTTTAGAGAAACATATGTATTAAAGTCATGTAGACCTAAAATAAAGGTTCAGTTTAGGGTATAAACTTTTCATTTTAAAAAATGCATTAATAGACTACATCTGGCTTTTTAGCTAATGGTAGAGGTATCTAAGAGTTCGGCTTAACACATTCAGAGAACATCTCTGACTCATCATACGATTAGCTGTGGGTCCAGTACATTTTTTACAGTCCATGTGTAACATTTATCTAAATATTTTCACACTTACCCCTGTATTGCCTGAGCTAAGTATCCACACTTCACAGTTTGGAGGCATTTTTTTGCTTTTTCACTTCATCTAAGTCTTCAGCCTCGTGATTCCAGACTAATTTTTCTGATTGGCTGGATCTGTTTATAAATAGATGAATCCATGGTAGTAAACTAATATTTCAACAGAGATGGACAAGTAACAGGTGAGTGAATTGTGGTTTCCTTGATATTTCAATTGTCAAGGCTAATTATTTATTATGTTCTGCTTTGATTAAGTTACTGGTGGGTGAAGTAAATGAGACTTTCTTAATGTTTCTCATTTTGGAGAGGAGAAGCCAAATACGAGCCAAATGCTCAAACAGGAATCCCTGCCCCCATCTCCATGGTGCTTTTAGTGTTTCCACCCAAGTCTGTGTGGATTTCACATTAGTATGAATTTCTTACCTAAGACCCAGGCGCAAAGTCAGCTATTTGTTTACAACTCTGCCAGATTAATCCATCTGAAGTGATTAGCCTTGGCTGTGGAAGGACAAACACAGCTATATATAGTTCATTTGCTATACCCTTTTGAGAACATTGCCTTGTTCTTTGGCCTTTAGCTTGCCTAATAGTTTGTATGTGTTCAAGCATAAGTATAAAATAATAAAATTAACTTCCATGGGTATTTTATAGGATGATTCTTAATGTTACAGTCATATATTATATGTATGTACACCCATATTTACACAAATTATTCATCCGGGTTTTGATCTCCCTTATTCTCTATATCGGGATTTAGGGAGATGATACTGAAGAGTCTGGGTTTTAATCTGATAGATTATTAGAAGACTAGAACTTTGGAGAACTGCAAATAAAACTTCAAATGCAGTTTGAAATAATTAATGTGAATTTATTATCTTCCACAGGCTTAAACTTATCATTCCTTCAAGATAATGGATACTCAAATGAAATTCACTATGGGTTTAGAGGTGTGGTACCAACAATACTACTCTCCCCTCTTACATGAAGTAACTAAAATCTACTTTTCTCTCAGCTTTTTCCCCTTCCCCGAAATTGCACTAAAACATTTCCACTATTAAATTAATTTCATGCTAGCTACTTTCATTTAGCATCAGGAAATATTTTTTTAAAATATGAGCTTGGAAGCCTAGTTATAAGACTAAAGAATTGGAACTTTATGAGAGTCAGCACTGGTGGCAATGTGTTTTTTGTGAATTTGGGGCCCTGAAGGAGGTCAGGAAGGGAAGAGATGCTGAAGCAGGAGTGTCTGCTTGAACATTTGTGTTAGGGCCCCCAAGACCCACCCTTTCCTCAGTATGGACATCGCATGATGGAATTCACCCTCATGAGTGAACAGTGCTCTGACCTTTAGCACATGTATCAGAATTATGGCTGGAAGCATCTCCCCACCAGACTGTGAGCTTCTGGAGGGGATGGATTATGTGGTTCTCTTGTTGGCATCCTGGGCAAGCAGCAAGCCCTTGTCTGACCTCAGATGAGCAGGTGCACAATGAGCAATTTGAATGAGAGTGGATGGAGTGAATGGATTGTAAGCAAAATAATCACATTCACTGGCACCTTTCTGGTAATTTAAAAACTGTTTAAGAAAAAATTAAGGGAGCTCTTATTTTTCATTTTCTTCATGTTAGCTAACTATGTAGTTAATAGGTGTGCATTTTACTTGGTAAGGAAGTAATACATATTGCAGGGCTCCAGGTAACCAGACCTCCCCATTATTTTCTACCTGAGAGAGGAGTGACCTATTGTGCATGAAAGTCAATTTACGAAATGAAAATAAATTTGGTTGGGGAGGGAAGGTGGATCTGTGATTCTTTTTTGCTTTTTATATTCAAAAATCCTCAAGAGAATTTCTCCAACTTAAACTGTCTACTCTATTGAATAACAATGTCAAAGAGAGAAATAACACTGCCTTCAGCCACTAAGATCTTAATGTGGGTGTGTCTGAGCAGTAAATACTGGTAGCTTCTTTTTGTTCATGCCCTGAAGTTAAATAGCACTGGAGAATCCAAAAGCATTATTTGATTTCAGCCACAGGTTTAGAGGCAGATAATCTTATCATTTTCCTTGACAGATGAGAGACTGGGATTTAGTGAGCTGGGTCTAAGAAAAGTAGAGTCAGGTTCATTGCATTGAAGGCAGCATCCCCTGAGTGCCTGCCTGTGCCAGGGAGATGGGGCAGATGGGCATTCCTCCCATGGCACCTCTATCTCTTATGCATACAGAATCTCCTTCTGTTCAAGCAGGGCCAGCAAACCTCCTGACACCGAGCAACCTCACACCCTGAGGTCCCTCCAGGGCCAGATGGCGGCCCTATGCCTCACAGGACTGTCCTCTCCAGTCTCCATCGTTCAGGCTGCCTGGCCCAACATGAATTCAGTGGCCTGAGGATTGTTTTAGAAAATAACTTTGTATTTACATTGTTTTTTTTTTTTAAGATTTTTATTTATTCATGAGAGACAGAGGGGGAGAGAGAGAGAGAGAGAGAGAGAAGCAGAGGGAGAAGCAAGCTCCCAAGGAGCAGGGAGCCCGATGCAGGACTCGATCCCAGGACCCTGGGATCATGACCCGAGCCGAAGGCAGACGCTTAACCGTCTGAGCCACCCAGGCGCCCTTTTTTGGGGAGCTACTCTATGAAGACGTATACACAGATTGTGTCTTTCCATAATGTCAGCTTTATTGAATCATAAAGCAAGGTTAACATAATGGTAAAAGCAGTTTCAGAATTCCAAACTCAATGACATTTCACTGTGCATTTAACTTGGCTTCATAGACAACACACGAAATATAAAAGTCACATAAGAAACAAGATAAAATAGGGTAAGTTAATGAACCCAATGCAAAGTCAGTCTACAAGCACACAGCTGAGATGAAGTCTCGACCGGTGTGGGTCCACTCAGTGCTTCCTGCTTAGTATGTTCAAGCAGGGGAGGATCTCTATTATGTTCAAAGATCAATTGGGCAGGACCTTCGGTGGCAGTTGCCTTTCTGATGTGGTCAGATGTGGAAGGGTCAGTGTCTGGAGAATATGACAGTTTGCTGCGAAAATCTTTCCTTTTTTAAAGGAGTTTGATCAGTCTAGCCCTTCCAGACTTTGGATTCTACCGATCATCAGTTCTCGGCTCATCCAGGCTTTCTTGGCTTTGCTGGTCATCACTTCTGGGTGCCAACAGGCTGTGAAGAGTTTTAGTGATATTTATTCTCAGCTCATCACCCTTGTCTGCTTTCCTCATTCATGACATCACTGCTTGACATGAGTGACTCCATTTCGCTCTCCACCTTATGTGTAGATCCTGCCATATACATAGTCTACCTAAATGTATCCACAAATGTGCATGCTTGCTTTCTTTTTTTTCTAAGATTTTATTTATTTATTTGACAGAGACACAGCGAGAGAGGGAACACAAGCAGGGGGAGTGGGAGAGGGAGAAGCAGGCTTCCCGCCGAGCAGGGAGCCCCATGTGGGGCTCGATCCCAGGACCCTGGGACCATAACCTGAGCCGAAGGCAGACGCTTAACGACTGAGCCACCCAGGCGCCCCAAATGTGCATGCTTTCTTAGGACCTTTTTACTCTTCCTTTTGTGTTTGCCTCTTCCCTTTCTCTTTTCACACCAGCTGCCACTCCTCAACCGACAGTGTATCTTCCTCCTTATTTTTCTTCATATATATATATATATATAAAATCTTTATATATCCTACACAGATCTGTGTATTATTTAAGAATAATGACATCATATTATACATATTTTTCTGCATTTGTCTTTTCTCCCTGAAGAGTTCCTTCAGAAATCCCTTTAGGTCTTCTAGCAGAGCTCCAATCCGTACTTTTTAATGGCTGCACAATATTCCCAGGTGTAAACACACATCATTTACCCAGCCATTCTCCAGCTGACAGGCATTCCCGTGTTCCCAGTTTTTTGCCATTCCAGATAATACTGTAATAAACATCCTAATACATACTACTTTATGTATTAGTACTTTTAGTTCTACAGAATAGATTCCAAAGAAGGGGATCCCCGATTTTATCTATTTTTAATTAACAGAAATTGCCAGACTGCTGTCCTAAAAGCCTCCACATCTCCACTAGTAATGCATGAACATACCCATTCCTTTGCTTCCCTTCTAGCTTTGGCTGACAGACCTCTTCGTTTTTGTTAGTGTGATGGATCTAAAATGAGACCTTACTGTTACTTTAATAGCACTTCCCTGAATATAAGTGATGTGAATCTTTTCACAAATTTCTTGGCCATCTGATTTTGTTCTTAGGTCATTTGCCTACTCGTATTTCTTGTCCATTTTTTTTATTGGGTTGTTCGTCTTTTTCTTGTCAGTTTGTAGGAGCTCTTTGTGTATTAGGGTTGTGGCTGAAGTTGCTGAGGCCTCTCTCCCAAGCCAAGATAGCTGACTAGGAGGCTTCTCTTCCTCTGTACTGTAGGGATAGTTGAAACAAGCCCAGGGGCTGTTTAGCAGAACTAGGAAGGCTATGATGACCTATGGCCACCTATGACTGCTGGTCACTGTTTAGATGCTTAGTCTGAACAGAAGACTGTATTGAGCCAGGATGTAGCTGTGTGCGGAGGACTGAGAAGGTGAGGCAGTTCAGTCCTGTGCTGCCTTCCACCGGTTAAGACCTCCGAGAGTGAAGGCCTGCCAAGACAGAGGATGTCCCTCTGCCGCCCTTGGAGGGGCAGCGCTGTGCTGGCCGACATTTACGGTGCTGCGTGTCCCTGGCTCAGATGAGGCAGTCCACTAAATTTGAAGGGTTAAGACATCAAAATCAGTGCTTCTCACTCTTGTTTCCACCCTCGCTCTTACGACAGATGGCATTCATGTATGTGGCACTCCTCTGGGCATCCCAGATTCTGAAGAAACCCAGAGACATTTTGCAGGGAGGTAAATTGCATGACAGTAATTGGTCACCCTGGCACTTTTAGGGGCACATCAGTAATGATCACTCTCAGACTCTGCCACAGGTAAGACCGTCTGCAGCTTATATACAGTTTTCAACCCCCAGCTCAAGAAAGCATTATCAGAATGCAAAGCAAGAGTCTTGCTATTATAGAAAACCTTTAAATCTCTTTCAATTTATAAAAATACAAGAATTCATAATCCTATTCTCTCCCCCTTTTGTGTCTATCTAGTAATAAAAAAAGAACTCTGTAAAGAGAGGATTCTAATGTAGAAGAAATGAAATTCTAAAAAAAAATAGAAGAAAAAAAATTTTAGGTAAATTTAGGTTACCAAAAACAGTTTCTAATACTAAAATCTGGTCTGTTTACTAACCATAATGTTACATAACCATAATGTTTACTAAGCATAAAAAAAAGATTATCCTGGAAAATGGTCTGTAACTCCTCTCCTCATGCTGTGCTCCCCCTTTGGGGACCTTGGGGATTTAGTAAATCTCTTGCAGGAAATCTAGCATTTCAATTTCCAAAGACTCTTTATACTAACTGGCTTTCATGAGAAACTATATTCAAATCAATGCCTGTTGTATCACAAGATATGTAAATGGCTAATTCTTTTGTTAGAAGAGGACTGGCACTTGTCTTTTTTTGATGATTCTGGTAAGTTTGTGACCTTTTTTTAAAAATCTGAGTGCTATGTTAAACATCATGCCTGATCCTGACTAGACCAGCTTGGTGGGGGGAAAAAATGAGATTTAGAAAACTGTAAGGTATCTGTAAGAAGACTCTTAGCAACTGAAATAAAAGCTTACACTAAACACGACTACTATTATAGCAACTTATTTTTCCTGTTCCCAACCGTGTCTTCCGTCATTCCCAGTTACATTAAAAAAAAGAGAGAGAGATTCTGGAACTTCATCATCTCCCCAGCTGCTGGTTCAAAACCTGACAGTACGAGTGCACATTGGCTATCTCACTATGTATCTTGGCCTTGATTCTCCCCTGAAATAAATTCTCAGAAGACCTCCAAGTCTGCCACGTGTTCTCTTAGTATTTTTAAATTTTCAAAACAAATTTGTTTAGAATTACACATTTGGTCCTTTGTGAAGTTACTTCCTGAAGAATAAACTTCACCTTTTCTATCCCTCCTTGTTTGATAGGTTATTTCTGTGATAAACTGTTTTAATGGGAAAGACTTTGCAATGATAGTCACTGGGTTGTGTGTGGATCCTTTCAACCACAGATACTTGCTGGACAGAGAAGAAGCTATTACTTTTCTTTATTTCCTTCCTTAATTAAAAGCATTGACAAAGCTTTTTATCTTTTAAATATATAGAGGGGATGAGCAATACAGAAAACTTCTTTTTGTTTTATAACTGGAGCAACTATGACAGGGTGAGGAAAAAAAAAAAGAACACTAGAATAACATGGTGCTAGCCAGTATTCTAGTATCTGTTTAGGGGGCTGTTTACTGAATTTCTTTTACTCACTGCCTGTCCTCTGAATTGACTCCTAGCACTGCTGATGGTTCTTTAGAACTCAGGATTCACGCTACAGTGCTGCTACCTGAGAACTGACACTGGCTGGAAACTCTGAGGCAATGACAGGGACCCCCCAAGGCCCACAGGACATGGCCTACCAACTAAGTTAAAGGTAAAAATTTAGAAAACTGCTTTGTATATTTGTTTTCCTAAGTATGTATATTTTTAAAACATTTTAGTGGTTTTTAGTACTGCCATTTTCCTCATAAGCCCATTGTTTTTAAAGTCACAAAACAGAGACTTGTATTTTGAAAAAAATATTTCCTCACTGAAAGGTCTTTAAAAAGGCTGTTCACCACGGGCACTTACACCCCTCAAGTTTAAGAAACAAATTGTTCGTTCCCAAGGCTTTCCTTCTGGCTCGTTTCAACCGTTTGTTCCCTAACACTGAGAGCAGCAAACCAAAGGGAGCTCTTACTCTGAGAAGAGGAACCTTTTTAAAAGAGAGCGAAGGAGACTAGTTAAAACGCACACATACAGCACTTCTTTAGCTGGTGCTTCCCATTTCTTCAGTATCAGTACCTGTGAGCTGGGGACCCGTCTGATCTTGAAGAGCGTTCCTAGTTAAGGGCAGAAGGGCTGGGCAGGGCTAACATTTCCTGAGGACTAAACCGTTAAAAATAGGAAAAAGAAACCCAGGTACGCCCAAACGAACCGTCGGATTTTTATGTGTAACAAAAAGGCGGCCGCCTCTGGCCACCGAAGTTGTGCGCGTGTGTGTCTAGTCGAGCGGCTGTCCTTACCTTCTCCCTCGGAACGCAGGCGCGGCGGAGAGAATGCGGAGTGACGAGCTGACGGCGCCCATGGACGACACCGGCGGGCCGGACGACGCGGCGGCGCTTGGCGGCCCGTGCCCCGGCCTGGCCCCGGCCCCTCCCGGCCGCCTGGGGGCGCCATACTGCGAGGCCTGGGGCTACTTTCATCTGGCCCCCGCGCGCCCGGGCCACGCCGCGGGCCAGTGGGCCACCTGCCGGCTGTGCGGGGAGCAGGTGAGCCGCGGCCCGGGCTTCCACGCGGGCACCCCGGCGCTGTGGAGGCACCTCAAGAGCGCGCACCGGCGGGAGCTGGAGAAGAGCTCCGCCCGCCGCTCGCCGCCCGGCCCCCCCTGCCCGCCGCAGCCGCCGCAGCCGCCGCCCGGGCCCGCCGTGGCCGCCGTGGCCGCCGAGGGCGACTGGGCGCGCCTGCTGGAGCAGATGGGCGCGCTGGCCGTGTGCTGCAGCCTGCGTGAGCGCGAGCTGGCGCGGCGCGAGGCGGCGGTGGAGCAGGGCGAGCGCGCCCTGGAGCGGAGGCGCAGGGCCCTGCAGGAGGAGGAACGCGCGGCGGCCCAGGCGCGGCGGGAGCTGCAGGCCGAGAGGGAGGCGCTGCAGGCGCGGCTGCGGGAAGTGAGCCGCCGCGAAGGCGCCTTGGCCGCCGCCTCTGCCCCGCCGCAGACTCCGCTCAAAGAAGAGCCCGAGGGGGAGAGGGACGGTTTCATAATCACCAAGGTCCTCTTGTAGGCTGTGGCCGCTTTGCGACCCCAGTCCCTCCCATGCCAGCGCTACTCCAGGTGTGGTCCGCGGACCGGCCTCCCCTGGGAACTGAATCTCAGGCCCGCCGACGTCTCCAAATGTGGTCCCTTGAGAAGCGCTTCGGAGCAAAGCGGAACCAAAAATCACTTAACGCTCCGTGGCCCCCCCCCAGGGTGCCTGGGAGCACAAGCTCCGGTGGCCTCCTTTGCTGTTGGCCTTTAGGAGCTGGTTTTCTTCCAACCGCCTTTGGAATGACAGCTCGAGCAACTTGGTGAGACTAGGCCACCCGGAGTCTCGTACCCGGTGACTTTGAAAGGACAGAAACTTTCTTGTGTACCAAAGACTATCATACTACGTGCCTGTACACCAGCCAGGGCAACCCAGGGTGGAGGGGGTTTGGAAATGAGGATAAAGCGTTTTATCCAAGAAGAGTTTTACTCCTTTCCCAATGAATACATCTTTGGTAATTGGTTTACCCAGCACGAAGTTCTGAAAAGGGGGCCACTTAGCTTCCACAACGGCTCTTTACCCTGTCCTCTCTAGTGCCTCATTGGCGCAGTCTGGGCGAACCCCTGTGTAGTCCCCTCCCAGCTTGCAGACCGTACCAAGTGCACCCTGTCTCACCCCAGCTGTTTTCTTTCCGTTTCACGCCCAGTGTCAGCTGTAGTGAGTTTCCCCACTTTCCCACCTCACATTCCCTTACTAGCAAAACATAACTTCCTCCCTCGTTAGGAAGGGAACTTTGGTTTCCCACATCTCCACAATCCTCGCTTCCGGGCCACAGTAGAAGGAAGGCATCCCTCCCATCTGAGGCCACCTCTGCCTCTTTTTCTGTTCCCATCCATTCCTCTTCCACCGTTACTGGACCTTTGCTCCATTATTGTTTCTCCTTTCTTCTGACTTAATTCCCTCCCTTCCCCAGACTACTCTTCCTCAGCAACACCCAGTCTGCCCTTGTACTAAAAAGAAAGACTTGCCCAGCCTGGCTGCCCCCACTGAACACTAACCAAGGGGGGCCTGTACTTCCTCCCATACGTGAATTCTTCACTAGTGGTCAGCTTCCCATCCTACCCTGGACCCCTAAGAGCTGAATATGATGATTTATTTTCAGCCTTCATCCTGCTAGTACAATGAACACCCACATACACCCTCTACCTAGACTGAGCAATTGTTAATATTCTGCCTTATTTACTTTTTTGGCCCTCTGCCCCAAACATGCATCGCATTTCATCCAGAAGTATTTCACCATATATATCTCCTAATAGCCTCTAAAATAGTCCTTATTCAAAATTCCCCAATTGTCTCAGAAATGTCTTATCTTTTCTAAAACAAACCAGGGTCCAATCAAAGTTCATTCATTACTTTTTGATTACAACTTTGTCTCTTTTAGTCTAGAACAGCTCCCTTGTTTTTTTTTTTCATGACATTTTTGAGAGTCCAGTCATCTGCGTTATAGAATGTCCTTTATTCTGGGTTTGTCTGATTGTTTGCTTAAGCCAGTTTATGCGCTCATTCTTGGCTCATCTACCTCTGTGCCGGTGACTCCTGGCTAACTCCAGCCTCGAGTGTTCTTCCCAGTTCAGTGCTTCATGTCCAACCCCCTGCTGCATGTCTCCCCCTCTGCTTGTATATCCTGCCACTGCTGAGGAAAGGGCAAATCCCACATTCCCACCCCTTACCCAAGAACTAACATTTACTGGGCTCTTAAAATGTACAGGTACATCATGCACACTGACTGCATGCATTATGTCACTTTATTCTCATAGCAGCTCCCTGAGGAGATATTAATACTATGCCCATTTACAGCTAAGGAAACTGAGATACAGAGGCGTTAAGTAGCTTCTACAACATCACAGCTGGTAAGTAGCATTGAGATCCAAATCCAGTCTCTACCTCCAGATGCGCTGTTCCTAGCTGCTGTACTGTCTCCCTTGCTAGTCACTGAGCTGATACCAAGTTTCCTCCCTCTCATTCCAGGTAATATGTCGGTGACATTAACATGCACTGAGCATTCGCCATGTGCCAGAGCTGTGCTGAGCTTACAAGAATAACTGCCTACCATGCAGCAACCCCATGACATATGCCCATTTTGCAGAGGAAGAGACAGGCTCGGGGAGCTAAGTAATGTTGAGGCAGAGTGGGATTTGAACTCATGTCACTGAATCCTAGGTTCCTATTTCCACAAAGTGCCACACCTGTCTTCCTTCTCATGCCACCTGTCAACCTCAGGCCTCATTTATCATTCATCTAGGGTTCCTCTTCCCATCCTTGTCTTCCCCAACTGTCCCCTTCCTTACACTCAACTTGACCAAAGGAACTGTTCTAAGCCAACACTGAATATATCAGAGTTCCTGCTCAAAGGCCCCCCAAGATCACCCATCATCAATAAGCTTCGATTTTGTAGCCTGACATCCAAGTGCCCCCACCCTGCTGCCAGTCTTACCTGCTCCTTCCCTACCTATGCTATATGCTCCAGCCCCGCTGGACTCCTTGTTCCTCCTGACATGTCCTCATTTTGGCTCCTCCATGCCTGTTTGCCTTCCCTCTACTTAAAAGGCCCCTTCAATCTCTGAGTATGAAGAATTCCACCCATTTTCAAAGACCTAGCTCAAATTCAACTGCTTGCATGAAGTTTTCCTTCATTACTCCTTATTTAGAGATGATTTTTTACTTCTCTGGACTCCTTAGCATTTTATAATCTCGTAACACCTCGAACAGGCCATCTGGCATATGGCTCTATGGGTTCTTGCCTTCCCTCTCCTGCCAGACCTGAGCCCTTGGGTTAGCCTCCTATTCCCACAGTGCTTTGTATATAACAGCTGCCCAATAAATAAATTTGAAGCATTGAACTCAGTGTTTTGAAGGTTTTACAAGTTAAGTTTTCCCAGAGTTACTAATATAATTATTCATTTATCTTTAATTCTGAATAGAATTCATAGGAGAAAAAAATAGCCTAGAAGGAAATAGCAGTAATAATTTAAGCTGTTTAGTCAATATTTAGTAAGTATGCATTATTGCGCTGTTTGGTTTGAATCCAAATTAGTGTATCACTACTAGTATGTCATTATCAGGAATGTTTTTCTTAAAATGTTTTTCATTACACAAGTAACACAAATGCAATGCCCCAATCTAGGAAGAAATCAGAACATCCCTCAAATTCCTGCCATCAATAAAACTTCTACAAACATTTTAATGTATTTTATTCTTTTGTCTTTCACAATCTTCACATTATCCTAAAAATAGTATGTTATTTCTGTAAGTACTGAAATATAACTTCTTCATGTGGATGTGTAACTTGGGCTATAAGAGGAATTTGAACTTTTTAGAAGAAATCTTCTGCAAATGTTACTCTTCTATTTCACCAACTGTTGGAACTATTAATATCAGCAAAGACTGACTTTTAGAATCGCAACTGCTTCCTCAAGAAAGGTAAATACTGGGAGCACCAACAGCCTGTTCAGGGGCCTGACTAGTAACTTACTGCTGGCTGTGGGAGTTAAGCAAAGAGATTTTACTTTCTGCTTTATATACTTCTGTACTGTTGTACTTTTTTATACCAAGCATGAATTACTTTTATAATCAAAAATAAAATTTACATTTCTCAAATGAGAACTGACCATGAGCATTCCACTTTCTTAGGTAAAATAAACAAAACCCAACACAAGGACTAATGTAATCCCCACTTTTAGAAAAGCCTAGAGAGAAATGCAGCCCTTGTCCAATCTAACACTATCATTTGACAGAAGAGAAAAATGAGCCCCAGAGTGGCTTGCCCACTATCAGGAGACAGTGGCTATGGTGGTTCACCTGACTCCAACCTCAACAGATATTGTGCCTCTTTGGCCTTAAGGACTTCTGCTGGCTCATCTGTCAAAGCCCAAGGGCTGTCAGGACCAATAAGCCAAGCTGGCCTCCAGAGGACGTAGAGATGGGTTATGGGGACTGCACTGGTTTCTCTGCCTGTGACCCAGTCGACTCACAGAGAGCTGTCATTGCTGATGGGTGACAGTGACACACCTCGCCTAGATCAGCAGGGCTTCTCTGACTTCTGTGACTGGCTTACTAATAGCACCACTCCCATGCTGCCTTTGAGAGCAAGCACACAGTGGGAGGTGGATGGCTGGAATGGGGATGCAGAATGCCCTGAACCCAACTGCTGAACTCCTGCCATGATGTAAAGTGATCAGTCACTTCTTTAAGTTTAAATTTGGCAGAGAGGAGGGGGAAGCAAAGCAGGGCATTGACAACCAAAGTTGAAACGGCTAGAGCCCTTTATATACCTAAGTTGTCATCCATGGAGCTGGAGAGGGTTAGAACTGGTTTGGGCTGACTTTCTATTTTAAATAGCTGTCCATGTCTTTAACATCTTAGAAGGGATTCATAAAGACTGGGTTTTTGTTCTGCTGCCACTCAATAGGGAATTCTATTTCTAAAGGTTTGAACTTCTTACCTTTCCACAACCTAAATCTGCTTGTCTGCAAAATGGATGAGGTGATCATTAAGGTCCTCTTTGGCTCCAACATGGTATGATTACATGAAATACAGTTAAACATCAAATGACCTTTGAGTCAATGAGTTGTTTGGTTTAATTGGATTTTCTTGGTCACTGCAAATTTAGAAGTAAATGTTGACAGTGACATGCTTACTCTCAAAAATACCAGGAGAGTATCAAAGTTCTTCCATAGTAGTGAAGTGCTAACTCTATCATTCACTCCCTAGAACTGAAGATGTGTGCAGCAGTTATGAGTATGCTCTCTTGTACCCACTCTTTTGTCCTCATGACACCCTGCAGGCAGGGCAAGTATAATTTTCCATATTTTACAAATGAGGCCATACACTTGAACAAGGTGAAGTGACCTGCTGAAAGACAACAGCAGATTGGAGGCTGGAACTCAATCCATGGATCCCGGTCATACCTGGGGCCAAAAAGTTGCACTTCCTCCCAGGCCTCCCTTCCTGTCCACCTCTTCACCAGTGCTATCCTGGCTGGAGTGCCTACTGATGGGCATCATCAATTTGGGTTGATGTTGGCTGCTCTCCACCACAAGCTCTGGTGTTGGGTTAGGTAAGCCAGACCTTAAGGAAGTGAGGTTGGCCATTGTATTAGTTTGCTATTGCAGATGTAACAAAATTACCACAAACCCAGTGGCTAAAAACAACAC